ACCAGAAAATTTATTAAAATCCATTGTGACCACGTAATTAATAACTTGGGGTTTATAATATCTTACCTACTTACCATCTTCTTGATATCTTTTCCTTTCAGAAATTTTGCAAGCACTTTAAGAGTAACCTCAATAAATGAAACATCCATATTCTCATCATTGTTATCAGCAGGACTAGCCCTGTTTTCCATTACCGGTAATCGTGCAATCCTTGAGGTCGTTAAAGGTGTAGTAGATGTTTTGCTCGATTTTGGACCTTCGAATTTAGCTATAGATTTTTCTATAAGCGTTATTGGAATATGATTCTGCCTGAATATGTAATGCATGGTCTTGATAGCAATTTGTTCTCCTGTCGTCAATAATTAAAATAAAGAATAAGAAAAGTTTGCATAAAACATGATACTTGTAATTTAGTAATTCATTCTTTTTCATAATACAACCTTCCAGATCATGCGAATTTTTGCCTACTATGCTTTCCTCATAAACATCAAAATAATCAACGTCATCATCGTCTTCACTGTCTTCACCAAAATAATAGAGATGCCTCAATACAGGATCATCTTCTGTCTATATAGAATAATTTATAATCATATTTAATAATTGTTTATAATTATTGTCATCAAGTGAGATTATAATTAATACCTTTGAGCTTCTTGTAATTGGAGTCCATAATGCATATTTTGGAATTTCACTTTGAATTGGAATGCTTATAGCCAAACGTTTATCCGAACGTTTTTTACGATGAGTAGTTGATAAATAATCCTGTAAAAATTTTTGTTCAAACTTATTAGAACAAATTTATACGTTTCGACAAATTCCTTTGTGGCTATCTCACCTGAACATTTAAATCAATCTTAAGCGAAGGTGGTCTTCCTTTTGTTGGAGCTTTTGAGTGACTTGCATTATTAGTGTTGCTTTTTACTTTCGTTACAGGTAAATTTTCAAATGGAGGATATGGATCTCCCTTAAAATTAGCACGAATTTCCTTGATACTTTTATCACATTGAAGCAGTAAAGCTTGCACTTTCGTACTGCTCTCATGCACAAGCGCCTATTGGGGTTATTCAATAGGATAAGTAAATGATCACAAAACTATTAGTTATTTAGAAACTTTGAGTTAATTTAAAAATTACGCGAAAAACCAAATACCTTAGTTTCTAACTGTTTTGCATCATAAAATTCTTCGCGCGTTTTAATATACTCCTTTTCAATTTCTTCTTTCAAAGCTGCCAACGGCTTACCATTGTACTTATTCATATTATTATTACGCGTGAATTGAAGTTTTCAATTAACGTAATTAATGTGCGAAAACTTGTTTTCTCAAATATAGATTTGGTGACATCTCTGATTGGCTGATGCAAATCAATTTTATTTATTTATACAGGAATAATCAGGAATAATCGTGACTGGCCAAAATTTATTACGTAATTAATTTATATGTTTTAAAGTAGGGATTGGAACCGCCTAAAATTTTCTTAATCGTTTAACCATTTAACCGTTTAACCATTTAATTTGGCCGGCATTAAAATAATTCTGGCCCGCGAGCAACATAATTTTGCCTGAAATTACAGTGCAATTTTTAGACTGTTAAACGGTTCCAATCCCTATTTGAAAGTACTTTTTGAACGTAACGTTCCACTAGCAAAAAAACATTATCATTATTATTAGCTTTAGTAAAGCGTCAAATTTTACTGTGAAAAAGAATCTTTCAAAAATCTCAAAGTGACAATACGTACTTTATTTAGAGAATAAAAGTGTCATTTACTAAAACCATGTAAGCCATGTGTAATAAATACAAGAAATCAGTAATAGAATATATTATTCTCAAGGGCAAACTTTGTTAACTAAATGATGTTATATGCTTAAACTGTTACAATCAATTTACTATTTCATCGATAGTCATTTTACTAACAAAGTAATTATGTTATTGTCGTTAAAGTCAGGTTTATAATTAAAGGTTAGCATAATTTATAAAGAGTGAATGAACCGGATTCGGTTAGATTGATGCATCTGTAATTTTAGGTATATTAAATAAATTGAGAGTTTAGGCATTTATGTAAAATGTAATGTTATATGTACATAAAGAAATGTTAAAAACTGATGTTGTATAAAACTTCAATGCAAACCCATAATAAGATCATTAGGTACAGAAAACTAAGAAACTAGAAAGACAGAATTTCACTTGAAAATTCTTAAGTAAAAAGGTAATATGGATTTTTGACAGTACTATCAAACAATTAAAGTTTATAAATCATATTCAAAAAGATATATGAATAAACTAGATAACAAATATATATATAAAAACATATAATCAATTAAGTTATTAGTTTTATTAAAAGAAAAGGATACAAAAATATATTATATTAATTCATTTGGATTAATAGTTTGGAAAGTCTGTTGGTTCTAAGTAACATTAGTAAAAAATAATAAAGAAGATGTTAGAAAAATAGATAATAAGATTCTAATAAACTTTTATAAATATAAAAATAATATAATAATAATGGTTTAACAGAATATTTATAATTATTAATATTTTGAGAATAGTGATCCTAGTGTAGTGGTTGGGTTGTCATTCTCCAAGTGGCAGGTCTAAAGTTCAAATCCTACCTATAATGAAATTTGGAAATTAACCTGTGTTATAGCAAACTGTCTCTTAATAATCAGTTAGATTTGTGTATCTGTAACCTTAAGTTGCACCATCTTGAATGAAAGCTCGGGGCATCTATGCCAAATGTAACATTACACATACATAGAGAAATTTTAATAACTAGTATCGCATAAGACTTCAGTACAAACCCATAATAAAACTAACAGATGCAGTAAACTAAGAAACTGAAGAGTCAGAAGTCTACTTGAAAATTTCTGAATAAAGAGATAGTATGAACTTTTGATAGTATGATCAGACTGATGAAAGCCTATAAAACACTCTCAAAGAGATAGACAGATAAATCAGATGTCAAGATATGTAGAAGAGCACATGACCAACTAGGCAGTCAGAATCACTGAAGAAAAAAAACATATAAGTATACCATACCAGGCTATCTGAATTGAAAATTAGTAAAGTCTTGCCAGTCCTGAGTAGCAGTTAGTAAAGAATGATGAAGAAGACATCATGATGATAGTTACTGAGGTTCTAATGAACTTTACAAGAGTAGAAATAATGTAATGTAATAGCTAAAC